GGACCAGTGGGGGGGACAAAAACCAGTCGATTGCATTAACCTTGCCTGAAACTTACTTCCCAGAAAAGGGTCCTACTTGAGCCATGTCCTAGGGTAAGCCACACCTATCGCCTGTTCCCAATCACTTAAGCCTTGCTCAGGTTAAAAAAAAATATACACATAAACCACCCACAAACCTTCCGTTTACCCGTTAGACTAGGCGCACGACACTTGGCACTCCTTTTAAATTTTAAAAACCCACAAACCTTACCCTAGCCTCTCTGAATCTTCCCCGACCTTCAACCCCACATCCCGATTTCTAACCACCAACAACGGCCAACAACAGAACTATGAGGCGAAAGAGATCAACCCCCAAGACTTGTGAATCCTAGCCCTACTTCGCTGCTCGCCGCGCCACGAAGGATGCCAAACGAACCGCACAAAAAGCAACAAAGAGAGCACCAGAGTGCACCAGATCCACTAGTCCAGCCAGCACAACCAAAACCAACTCACGCTGCGAGCACCTCTGCGGTGAGCGACCACCCACAACGCAGTCCCGTCGTCGACATCCCTAACTCCCCACCAAAAGAGCCAGATGCCCATCAAGCAGGACCCAGCCGCACCACCGAACAGCCTAAATTGCAACTACCCACTTGCAGGAACCCACCACCGATGACTTTGAGACTTCCCAAGAACGGAAAAGGGCACGAATCTGAAAGGGCAAGCACGTGCTTCCACCCAATGAGTCCGAACTGAATGGCCACCTCGCCTTCCACGAAGACTTTGAGAAAAAGAGGTATGGGGAAGTCTCTAAACTCCCCATAGTGTCGAACAAGTGTTGTACACCCTTATTCTGGAAACCCTCGACACCAAAGAGGAGGTTTTGCAACTAATCAGCAACATCGGCTAGTCACTTACTTTGCGAACACCCTACCAGCATATGTGGAATTGGTCCGTGAATTCTACTCCACATTTGAATTTTACAAACGGACCAATTTCACTATGAAGACACAAAACGTGGTCTCCTTCTAGTTGATGGGTTAACGGTTCAACTTTTCGCTCACTCAATTCCAAAATGCCTTGGGATTCTCTAACCCTTTCCTCAAGCACCCATTCAACGATGTTGGTGAAGATTTCAATCCGACTGCTGTCTATGAGGAGCTATGTGGTAATCCACCTAACACGTTCGAGCCTAGCAAATCCAAAAACTTCTACTTACAGGCACTAAGCATGAAGTACATCCACCGCTTTCTGGTCTACTCCTTTTCGGCTGCAAGGATGCACCAAGTGTCCTATCCAAAACAGAACTCTATTTCTTATGGTGCATGGTGCACAAGGGATGGGTAAACTTAGGCTTCTGAATAGCCACACAGTTTTTCAATGTCATCACCTTCCAACGACCATTGATTCTCGGATCCGGTATCACCCGACTTCCTGTCAGCCTCACTAGCTTTGATACCACAGACAATGACCTGCAAATCACTTGCCTACAAGCACCCCTAGACTTAGGCTCTTTAGATGCAATGAGTTTGCTTCTACTCAAAGATGGCATCCCTTGCTTTGCACCTCCCGGCCCACCTGTCCTAAGAGAGCAGCGCATATCCAGCAAAAAGAAGGAGCCACGAGATCCTACAATCACCACTCCTCAATAATCCGAACTAAAAGAATTCATAGACTTCATCCTCATGTAATTCCATCAGTTGGGTGACCGTATAAACCTCCTCCAGCAATCAATACGAGAATTGAATAAAAAGATTGATGCACTGACCTAATTACTCATCCAAAAGGGGCAACCACCAACGCGATCCCGCACTAAATGAACCTCCAGAGGAGTATTCTGTTCTCTTTCTTTTTCTTTTTATTTTTCTTTTATTTTTCATTTTGCTTATTTTCTCACTTGTTTATCGCATGTCTTACATCACATTGGGGACAATGTGTCATTTAAGTATGGGGAAGCTTAGGTACTAGTTTAGGTACATGTTGTCCTTCAAGTTTTTAGGATAGCCATGTTTTGAATACTCACTACCCCACATCCTTAACCATGCCCAAATCACATACACATGCACTTTCAGCAATTCTTATCCCACCTTCTTCACAACTATTTAAGTTATTTTAGAAACAACTCAAATGTGATAGTTCAAAAATCAAATTGCAAATTACAACCATCTTCTTGGAATCATAACTTGTCTTTCATCCCTTCACACTAAGAACAATCATTTTTAATCGTGTATCCTAAACATGACTTGTTTGGAGATTGTTATCAACAAAATCTGATTTTTTTCTTACTTCCAAGTGAATATCAATGCTTAGGAAGAACTCCACAACAACTCGTCCGTATTTGCATGTCTATAATTATATGGTTCATGTTTAGAACTCTCAAAAAGCAGAGAGAAAAGAGAGACCAAATATTGACATGAATATTTTGTTATCTAAATAGTTTTGTAGTTTTTCCTGTATAATCTTACCATTAATTTCTCTCATAATACTGTAATTATTTAGAATCCCTACTATTAGGGTAATTTTCTTATTTATGTATAAGAATTTTGTATATATATATGTGTCACCTGTAACATAAAAAATGTAGTGAAAAATAAAGTATTTTCCCTAAATTTTTCATGATATCAAAGTAAAATAGAGGTATTTTAGGATTTTACTTTAGAGTTTCTTTTAAACTCTTGAATATTCTCACCACCCAACCGGACTCTCAACCTCACCGATGGCTTGTCGCCTTATTCCCGTGACCTTCTCCGCTTACCCGATCCCTATGCTTTGGCCGCACCCAGCTATTTGCACTGCTGCCTCACAAACGACTTCTGGTTCATGGTGTTTCCTTCTCTAACCGCACCTAACCCACTTTTCTCCGATCTCTATTCGCACACGACTGATTTGCATTGCTCCTTCGCGCATGGCCGTCTAGATTCGCGACATCTTGTGTTCCTTGGATTGTTGAAAAACCCGGCTTTTTTCTTCGACCCGATTTTGCGCACGGGCAGCTTGACCCAGCTGTTTAATTCTGTGCATGGGTTCGCATTGTGTTTTGCACACGAGACAAATCGATTCGCTTTACTAGAGTGATCTGTCACACCAACAGGTTCTCTTCACACGACCGCACGCAATCCTTGCCTTTCCCAGCCGTGCGACCGCGTCTCGCCTCACACCAACAGGTTTGCTCGTTTTTTGGCTTGAATCCAATTGCGATCTGTCCTCCCATAGCCTACGCCTACCTCTGTTTCCAACTCTAGACTTGTCTCTCTCGGATCCAACACTGGTTCTCCTGCCTCGCCAGAGAGACGTGTCTCCAATGATCTTCTCCGGTCTTGTTGCGTTGTTTTGGTCTCCGTTGGTGTTAGAGGTTTGTTCTATTCATGTGAGATTCATTATTGGATATTTTGTCCATGTCCTTTTTTTCTGGTAGTGAAAAATGGCAAAAGCAAAAAATGTGATTATTCCTAATTCTGAGAACCCATCATTACAAATCAGTCTCGTGAAACTTGATGGAATTAATTATCTTACCTGATGTAGATCTTATTTACTATTTATCCAAGCTAAAAGTTTGCAGGGTTATACTACTAGTGATGCAAAAAAACTAGAAGTCAATAGTTTAGAATTTAACAGATAGGACTCTGAAAACTCCTTGATCATGTCTTAGCTCATTAACTTCATGCAATCTCACATTGCCTGAACATATCTTTTGCTCAACACTGCAGCAAAAATATGAAATGCAGTTTCTATTACATACTCTCAAGTGGGTAATGATACTCATATTTATGAACTCTAAAATAAGGTTCACAACACAAAATAAGGAGAGTTGACTATCTCTTAATATTTTTCTAAACTTAGTTGACTAGGGCATGAACTCAATTACTATCAAGATTTTCATGCAAATTGTCCAGAGGATACTGTTAAATTTCAGAAAAGAATAAAAAAAATAGCGGATTTATAATTTTTTTGCTAGTCTGAATGCCGAATCTGATCAGATATAGGTCAGGTACTCAGTAAAGATCCTCTTCTCTCATTAGAACAAACTTATTCTTATATTTAATAAGAAAAAAGTAGAAGAATTATCGTATTCCACATAGTACCAATTGAAAAAGTTGGGTTAATTGCACAATCTGAATACTCCAAAGATCAACGGAATTGTGATTATTATGATAAACCAAGACACTGAGGAAACTTACTGAAAATTGCAAGAACGACCCATTAGAGGTCGTGGGGAAAGGAAAGGTGGACTTATGAGAGCTCAAACAAACTTGATTGACGCAAGCGAAGTACCCGACACACACCAACAGTCGAAACCTTTTCCACCAAAGAGATTCAAAGTCTGAAGCACATTCTATCTTAACTCTTAAACTACTATTGGTACATCACGTATGGTAAAATCAGGTATTTCTTCTCTTCTTATTTTCACAATTGATATTTGGATTATAAACTCTGAAACTAACAGGCACATGACAGACTCTTCCACTGAATTTCTAATCTATTTTTCTTGTAGTAAATGAGAAAATATTTGCACAGCAGATGGGTCATACACTCCTGTGTCTGGAACAGGTTCCATTAATTGTACCCCAACTAGTACACTGTTTTCATTTTCACATGTGTCTAATTTTTCTAATAATCTTTTATCTATTAGTGCTCTTACTAGAGATCTAAACTATAAAATTGAATTTTTTCGTGATTATTTTATCTTTCAGGATCTTCGAATAAAGAAGAGAATTGACACGGGTAGCCTGTAGGATGGTTTTTATGTTTTGAAAAGAAGTCAGAACCTAATCGAGAATC